GTTCGAGTCGCGGACTCGGCGATAACAATTTATTATGTCCCCCCTTCTCCAAACCGCGCTGACCGGCGCGGTGAAGTATGGTCGAGTATCCTCCCGCGATGAGGCAAAACGCCGCAGGGAGGCCTTGATCCGTCGGGTGCTAGATTTACTCGTTGAGTGTGTTGTTTTTTTGCGATCATTGGAGCTATGGGACCTAAACTGACGGAGGGCAACGGCTTGTTTTTTTTATGTGTTTATCTCATCGGTATTCCTGGCGTAACCGCGCCTGTGTATATACGTGTTAGGTGAAGTATGGTCAAACAGTTCCCCACGATCGCAGGCTTGGGGAGGGGAGGGGCCTTCATCCATCCAGCAGTGGATTAACGATGGCTGATTGATGGTAATTGTGATGATTATTGATGATGATGATGGCTAATTATGATTAATGATCATGATGGGTGGTGATTAATAATCATGATATATGAGAATTGATGATGAATCATGATTGACGATGAGAGATGATGGTTGATAAAAGCTCAACTATTTTCAACTAAACTAGTTTTGATTTTACCAGGTATGGCCCACGAAGCTATATATTTCTTTTTTCAGACGTGACCGGGCCACAAATGATAGCTCAACAAAGTGGCTTATCGCGTGGAAATGTATAGCAGCCAAATACTCTAAACGCACGTCGAGTCTAAATGTCGAGGGAAAAACCGGAGGACCCGGATAAAAAAAAAGATCCACGCAACCACGGGGAGAGAGACATGCAAGCCTCAAATATACAGATGATAACTGATGATAATTGACGATGGATGATGATCGGGGCATGGAAACCGATCTGGAAAGCTGTCAGGGATGTGGTAAAGAGAGGACGCATGGGGCGCGGGGTGGTGGTGGTGGTGGCAGGAGGAAGGATGGGATTGGGGGGGTGGGGGGGCAGTGTTGTAGGAACGCCCGAGCGGGCACTTGGCAAGAGAGGAGAGAAGTTCTGTCCAGTAATTTCGCTTTGTTTGCCTGAATGGCACTTTCACGGCTGTTTGTTCACGCCGTAATTAGTTTTCGGGGCGGCTGCAATGGCTACTGCTAATCCAGAGCATGCACAGCGGGAGTCTAATTAGATACAAGTCCGTGGTAGCAGGATGCTCGCCCGTTCCTTCTTGGCAAGTGTCGTCTTTCCCCCCCCCCTTCGCCTTCGCTGCCTCTGCCGTGGCAGGGGTAAGAGAACGATGTGGCACGTACAAGGATTAACAACTAGGCAGACACGAAGATTCCCCGCTCCGTCTTATCGGGCTGTAGGGGCAAGTGCTGTCGACGAGCACCTACGGAGGCCGGCACATGGGGGGGTGGGCGGCCACCACCACGCCTGGCCGCCTTTGTCTCCCCAGTGTTGATGAGGCTGGGTCGACCTAGAGGAGGCCCGGGACCGCTTCAGATAATCGTCACCCGGCATTGGCAGGAAATGTGAATCGAACTCGGGTTGCTGGGATCGTAGCACAGCGCGCTAGCCACTGCGCCCACCGCTCCCCAACTCAGCAGACATGCCATGTCAAGCTAAACTTTTTTTTATTTTACCAGCTATATAGATCTATTTTTTTAGATGCGACCTGGCTTTCACAAATTATGGCTCAACGAAGCGGCGTATTATCACGTGGAAATGTACAGCAGCCAAATACTCTAAACGTGTGATGTTCATTCTAAATGTGGAGGGGAAAACCCGGAGGACCTGCAGAAAAATCCACACGACCACGGGGAGAGAGACACGCAAACTCCAAATATACAGCAGGCGTCAGGCTCGGGATCGATCCCACAACCTCCTGTATACCAGGCGAGGTAGTTAACATCTCCGAGCCACCGTGATGATGATAGACACGCAAACTCCAAATATACAGCAGGCGTCAGGGTCGGGATCAATCCCACGACCTCCTGTATACCAGGCGAGGTAGTTAGCATCTCCGAGCCACTGTGGCACCCCCCTGTGATGGGATGCGGGACGCCAGGACATCTTGTCGGAAGGTCGAGAGGGGGGAAAGAATTGGGCGTAGCGAGTCCCCCCCTGTAGCGATCTCCTGCCGCATCCGAACCGCTTTAGCAGCCCTGCAGCGGTGCGCCTGGAGGGGGAATGCTGCCAGATTTTCATCCTGAGAAAATATGATAGCTAGTGGGGGGGGGGGGGGATATATACTCTTAGTTCTTTCGGTAAAGTCACGTAGGTAAAAAATTCAATTAAAATTAATAAATTACCTACGTGCCTTTACCGAAAGAACTAAGAGTATGAATCCTTGCAGTCACGAAAGCTTCAAATCTGGGGAAGGGAATGTCCATTGATTAACGAACGAGCGTTCGTCCGGGTGTGAACGCTACCGCGGCGCCGCGATATCGCCGGACTGCCGTTCCAATGCGGCGGTTGTAACAACGGCGAGGGTTGCGAACCCATGTGTGCGCGCGCGTGTGTACAAACATACAGGGGAGCAGCAGTGCAGTGGTTAGCGTGCTGCGCTTTTAGAACCCAACGACCCGAGTTCGACTCCTGCTCGCGTGCCAACACCAGCGGTGACGGTTGTCTGAACTGGTCCTGTGCCTCCTCCCCTAGTTCGACTCGGCCTCAAATGAGTACCTGGTGCGGTGGGTAGTAAACATCGCCACTGGGAGAGGCTAAGGCAGTCGGGCATGGCGCTGACAACCCACCCGCTCGTGTGCGTGCCGGCCTTCATTGGCGCTACTCGCTAACAGCACTTGCCTCCAACAATCTGTTAAGGCTACACGGGGGGGATCTCTGCAGGGTTGCGATTTCCGCATGTAAAATGCGGAAGGAGGGTTCAAATTTTCCCGCATTTTGCTAAAGTCAACCGCAAACGGTGGAAAGACTACTCCTATGACCGCGCGCTTTTAACAACACGTTAATGCGTTCTATTGGAAAGGATACATGCAAGGCCCAGCATCACGTAGGGCTTTGAGTTACTGATTGGAATGAATATATGATTTCCGCATTTCCGCACAAGAACCACATACTTTATTCAAATGCGGAGCCGTGATTACGAGCACATGTACATGATGTATCCTTTCCAATAGAACGCATTAACGTGTTGTTAAAAGCGCGCGGTCATAGGAGTAGTCTTTCCACCGTTTGCGGTTGACTTTAGCAAAAATGCGGGAAAATTTGAACCCTCCTTCCACATTTTCCATGCGGAAATCGCAACCCTGGATCTCTGTCTTTGCTTTTTCATATACACACGTGTATATATAAGTCGGTCGATCCGGCTGGTCACGGATGAACAGATCGCAGCACTTCACCGCGTCGGCGAGAGGGGCCGGGGCTGTCTGTGTCATCGTAACGCGCGTGGAGGGAACGGCCCCTGTGGCCGCGTGGCCACACAGCCCCCACGGAGTGCGGTGGTGTGCGGTGGTGTGCGGTGGTGTGCGGTGGAGTGCGGTGGTGTGCGGTGGTGTGCGGTGGAGTGCGGTGGTGTGCGGTGGTGTGCGGTGGTGTGCGGTGGAGTGCGGTGGTGTGCGGTGGAGTGCGGTGGTGTGCGGTGGTGTGCGGTGGAGTGCGGTGGTGTGCGGTGGTGTGCGGTGGTGTGCGGTGGAGTGCGGTGGTGTGCGGTGGAGTGTGGTGGTGTGCGGTGGTGTGCGGTGGTGTGCGGTGGAGTGTGGTGGTGTGCGGTGGTGTGCGGTGGTGTGCGGTGGAGTGCGGTGGAGTGCGGTGGAGTGCGGTGGTGTGCGGTGGTGTGCGGTGGTGTGCGGTGGAGTGTGGTGGTGTGCGGTGGTGTGCGGTGGTGTGCGGTGGAGTGCGGTGGAGTGCGGTGGAGTGCGGTGGTGTGCGGTGGTGTGCGGTGGTGTGCGGTGGAGTGCGGTGGTGTGCGGTGGAGTGCGGTGGTGTGCGGTGGTGTGCGGTGGTGTGCGGTGGTGTGCGGTGGTGTGCGGTGGAGTGCGGTGGTGTGCGGTGGAGTGTGGTGGTGTGCGGTGGTGTGCGGTGGTGTGCGGTGGTGTGCGGTGGAGTGCGGTGGTGTGCGGTGGTGTGCGGTGGTGTGCGGTGGAGTGCGGTGGAGTGCGGTGGAGTGCGGTGGTGTGCGGTGGTGTGCGGTGGTGTGCGGTGGAGTGTGGTGGTGTGCGGTGGTGTGCGGTGGTGTGCGGTGGAGTGCGGTGGAGTGCGGTGGAGTGCGGTGGTGTGCGGTGGTGTGCGGTGGTGTGCGGTGGTGTGCGGTGGAGTGCGGTGGTGTGCGGTGGAGTGCGGTGGTGTGCGGTGGTGTGCGGTGGTGTGCGGTGGTGTGCGGTGGTGTGCGGTGGAGTGCGGTGGTGTGCGGTGGTGTGCGGTGGAGTGCGGTGGTGTGCGGTGGTGTGCGGTGGAGTGCGGTGGTGTGCGGTGGAGTGCGGTGGTGTGCGGTGGTGTGCGGTGGTGTGCGGTGGAGTGCGGTGGTGTGCGGTGGAGTGCGGTGGTGTGCGGTGGTGTGCGGTGGTGTGCGGTGGAGTGCGGTGGTGTGCGGTGGTGTGCGGTGGAGTGCGGTGGTGTGCGGTGGAGTGCGGTGGTGTGCGGTGGTGTGCGGTGATGTGTGGTGGAGTGCGGTGGTGTGCGGTGGCGTGCGGTGGTGTGCGGCTAAGCGTGGCGGGTCACCGCCTTCTCCGCGGACTCGAACCACGTTGCTGCTCGGTCGACGACTCTTCCCGCTGAACGTGTACGACAACGTTCAGTTATAGATAAATATGTCTCTGTGTGTGTGTGTTAATGTTACAGGGTGTCTTCTAGATTTCGGGCTGATACCGTGTCGGGCAACCCACCCGGCATAACCCGTGAATTTGATCAAAACCCCCGGAATTTCCACGTAACACCAAACTCAGCCCATTAATTCCATTGGCATCTAGCGGCTCAACATATTGACACTCAACAATAGGACAGAATGTAACCGCTGGCAGCGGCGAATCGGGGAGCGCCGGATTTGCAAGTGAGCCCGAGTGCATTCGCAGCCTTCTCAGCCCTCTACCTCCTTCCGCCCCCCCCCACTCCCCACTCTGCCGGCCAGCAGCAGTCGGCCCCCGAGGGCTTCTCCCCGCACGACCACGACGAGGGCGGAGGCCGCTACGTGGCGCTCGTCGTGCTGTCCGTGGCGTGCGTCCTCGGCCTGCTGGTCGCCTCCGTCGCCTTCTACTGCTCGCGAGGCGATGGCGCTGGAGTCGCGGTCGGGGTCTGGGGAGGGGCGCGGGCCAAGCGCCGCTCCGAGTACACGAGCCTCGACGCGGAGCCCGGCGCGCACGCCACCGCCGACTACCAGGTTTGGTGGGGGGGGGTCCTCGCTGACGGAAGTCTGTTCTGTTACGAGTGCGTTGAGTTCAATGACCCTGCCACGACTGTCTGTATGTACGTGCGTTGAACTTCTTTCGCACCGTACGTAGCCAACCGCACTAATCGACCCAGAGGACTGACTATCTGTCTGTCCGTACACCTGTCCCCGTTGCGCCTCCATCCCTCCGTCCGTCCGTCCGTCCGTCTGAATGCCCCGTCCATCCCAATGTCCATATGGCCATCTGACCGTCCATCTGTCTGTACAAATTAAAACTCACTCGAACTATTTTACCAGGTAAGGGCCCACTGAGCTATATAGCTTTTTTCGTCAGAAGCGACCTGGCCACAGATGATAGCCCAATGAAGTGGCTTATCACGTGGAAATTCATAGCGGCCAAAATACTTGAAACGCGTGACGTTGATTCTAAACGTGGAGGGAAAAACCGGAGGACCCAGAGAAAAATCCACGCAACCACGGGGAGAGAGACATGTAAGCTCCAAATATACAGCAGGCGTCAGCGTTGGGATGGAACCCACGACCCCCTGCATACCAGGCGAGGTAGTTAACACCTCGCCACCGCGCCCATATGGCCATACACGTGTCCATCCGGCTGTCCGTCCATCCGAACACTCGTATGACCGACCATCCATGAAAAATAAGCTAAGAGCTTATTAGGCTTTACCTGGTGAAATGTTGTTTTTGTGATTTGTTTACCTTTCCTATACTTTCCACTCCTATCGTGTCTCCGTATTGTTTTAACGTTCTGACCCCGTGGCCCGCGCTGAACATCTGTGAAGAAGACCTTCACAGAGCTCATCGGACTCGCCCAGCATAAATAAACGTTCCCATTCCGATTCTTCTGACCCCCGCGGATGCCCGTGTACCCGCGCCAACGCCCGTGTTTTCCTCCCGCGCGTCTCCTCCGCGCTCGCCCCCTCTCCCCAGGAGCTGTGCCGCCAGCGCGTGGCGTCTCGCTCGTGCGAGCGCACCGAGCTGCTGCTGCGGCCGCAGGCGGCGCACACGTCGCGCGTCAGCAGCGTCTCGTCCCAGCACAGCGACCCGGGGGTCACCGGGGTCACCACCACCGCCGCCGCCGCCCTGAGCCCCTCGCCCAGGAGCAGCATCTCATCGTGGAGCGAGGAGCCCGCGTCCTCCAGCCTCGACATCACCACGGGACACATGATCCTCGTAAATATCCCTCGCACCCCCTCGCTCCCTCCCTCCGATCAGAAGAAACAAACAAATATCGGTTATTCGGCACTTTGCTTCCTTCGTCCTGTCGTTTTTTGGGTCTCTTAATTTTTGGCTTATATGGCCTCCCAGCATCAGGATGTTTGGCCAGGTCGCTAACGTCGGTGCGTCTGGCATCCACGCGCGCGATGAAAGCAAGAGCTGCCAGATAGAAACCCACCCACGCCACGCACTCGGAGGCACGGGAAGCGGCCAAAAGGCTCCGCCACGGACGGATTAATTCCGCTTGCCGGACCGCATGTCCGAGCGTCGCCTCACGGCCCAAGTGCGGGATGGGGCCGCGATTCGCGAGTTGCACGAGAGTCTGCACGTAATCCACCAACCCCGCCCAACCGCCCCGTACCGGCTCGCGCCCCTCTCTACCAACTCCCGCCGTGTCGGCCCGTCGTGGACCTCGGCATGTGAACGGCGCGTGACGAACAAGCGGCCTCCGCATCTCTCTCGCTCCCTCTCGTCGAAAAATTACCCAAAGCTGCCCGTACGCGGCTGTAATTAAACGCAGTGTTCGTGACCTTTACGTGACCTCAACCAGAGGGGGAGGGATGGGGGTGTGGGGGACAGGGGGCGGCGTCAGAGGAAGTGCGGCCGAAAACAATCGTCCTTATTGACGCCTGTCATCGCAGCGTGGCGCGCCCGGGAGGTCGGCGAGCCGTCGCGTGTTTGGCTCCCGAGGCCCCCTGTAATCTAAACTCATTGTCGAGCTGTCAGGGCAGCGATGATGGCACCCGCCCCTCTCCTCACATCCGCCCCCAGCCCCCCCCCTCGTCCCACCCGACGCCCCCCCCCCACCACCACCACACCAGCGCACCCCCCGCTCGCTAGCGCGCCCCTCATTTCCTGCTCAATCCCATTTGACTCGGACGGCGCTTGGCAAATCTGTATAGATCTGCCCGCTCCATTTGATATCAGCAGCCATTAACATTCACACGCGTGGTCGGTCGCCCCCCCCCCGCACTCCACCCCCTCCCCCCCCTACCGTGCCACCGGGGGTGCTGCTCTCGCTCCTAACCCAATTAGCGCGGGGGGGGGTGGGTCACGCGGCAACCCCCCCCCCCAACAGCACCGCCTCCCCTTCCACAGCTTGTTGTTAGGTTTCAGGACAAATGAATTTGGCAGCGATGGTGGTGGTGGTGGTGCAGGAAGTGGTGGGGAGGGGGGACAAATTCGAGACGACGAACGCCCTGTCGCCCCCCCCCCCCTGTCCAAGCTGCAGCTGCTGTTGAACCCCACCGCCTCCATTGCTGTGCCTCCACCTCTGCCTCGCGTCTACCACTGCCCCGTGTCCACCTCTGCCCTGTGCCTCTGCCCCGTGTCCACCTCACCCCTGTGTCCACCTCTGACCCGTCTCCACCTCTGCCCCGTGTCCACCTCTGCCCCGTGTCCACCTCTGCCCCACGTCCACCTCTGCCCCGTGTCCACCTCATCCCCGTCTCCACCTCATCCCCGTGTCCACCTCTTCCCCGTGTCCACCTCTGAAGGAGTCGATTTGTTTGCTTATTTCGTTTGTCCTTTGCCAGCTATGTTACCTTGCTCCAGTCCTACTCTCGCAAACCTTTCTGCTTCAATGTTTTCCTTCATCGCACGCGAGTCCCCTCTCATCCATCTCTTCGTCTCCCTCTGCTTGTATTCCATTACATTCAAGAACTCGTGGGCAGCGTTCGCGTAGTCGTACATGGACGCTGTCCAGTGTACGGGGGTAACTTGTTCGCGTGTCTGGCCCAACGTGGAAGAGGAGGCCAAGCAACCATCGAGGGTGAAGGCCCCTTATGCCAGTTGTGGTGGCGTGAGTAAGGAATTGCAGGGCCGCACCTTTACCTCCGCTGTGAGTAATTCGGGTGCTGTCGGCATGCTGGAGCGTGGGTAATACGAGTATTCAGCTTTGGTGCATGGGCAACGCGAGCTGATAAAAGCAAAGGGGTTATTGCGATAATTATCGGGTAACGTTGGCATCGACTCGTGGGGAGCACTTGAAGTGCAGCGATGCGTGGGGCGTCGAGATGGTGAGCACACCGCGTGCTACGAGCCCAGGCCGAACCCGAGTTCAATTCCCAGCCACGGCGAACATACATCAGTGTCGAGTTCATGTATAAACCGTTCCAGGGCGCTCCACAAAAAATCCCTGCCTTCACTAAGCCGTATAGACCAGCACGGTGAAATATTGCCAAACAACAACAACTCCTTTACGTGTGCCCGCGTACGATTAGGAAGTTTATTTCGCCATTTCGTTCACGGGGCCCCGGGACTCTGCTGATGAAGGCCCATTAAGTCAAAGTCCCGTTCCCAGCGTTTGCTTGCTTAAACGCACGCTGCCTGATAACGTTTTTATAATAATTGGTGTGGCAAGCCAATAGTTAGGATTGACTAAATAAACGCCGTTTAATGCACCCGTTCACTGGAAGTTTCTTAAAAAATCCGCAGTCATATATTTATTAATACGGCTATATATTATTATTTTTATTATTTTCAAACACACCCGGCTTTAAACAAAGAGACGGCGGGGCCACCTGGCAATCACGTTCTCCTTTCACCCACAATGCTTCACGCACAACGGGTTTGCATGACGGCGCTAGCGCTACTGCGGGTGCCGAGCCGGGCCCTGCACCACCAAACGTCCTCTTCCCTTTGCGCCGGGCCAAGTTCACTCTCCATCCCCCCGCCCCCCCTTAGTGGAATGTCACCGTGATGGTGCCCCCCCCAACAGCACTACTGGGCCCCCCCCACCCTCAACCCCACCCCCCCCCCATCTGAGAGAAGCTGGAGCGAGACCTGTCGCGTCGTGTAAAGTAACGACGCGTTGATTATGTCAGAACGGTGCGCTCAAGTAAAGGCCGTTCTATTATTCCCCGCTTCGGGCTGTATTAAGTGGCCGCAAAAACAAAAAAACATCTTCACGTGTAGGGGACCGCAGAGTTTGGGCAATTGATGGCTGGCGCAGGCTCACCGCAAGACCGCTCCCTGCTTGGCCGTGTTTTCTGGCGCCTCCGGAGTCGTTCTCTCTCTTTCTGTCGACGAGAGCGAACGAAGACTGTGTGCGCCTCACGAGTTGAAATTATCACCGTGAGTCACGTCGACTGGCGCAGATAGACGCACCACGTCTGACAAATATCTCGTCGCTTGCGCGTGCGCTTGTGGAAGTGCGTGGCATGGCGCTCTCCGCCCTACGAACCCGGCGGGCCCGAGTTCGATTCCAACTCGTTGGCACCAAGACGATTATCTGAACCTGTCCTGAGCCTCCCCCTAGGTTGGCTCAGCCTCAAAATGAGTACCTGGTGCGGTGTGTAAACATCGCCACTCGGGACATAAAGGCGGTTGGGCGTGGTGCTGGCCACCCACCTCCCTAACAGCACTCGCCCCAACTGTCTGTTAAGGCTACCGGAGGGACCTGTGACTTTGCGTAACGGTTAGCGCTACGCTGCGCTACGAACCCGTCCACCCGAGTTCGATTCCCACTCACGGCCAACACCGGTGGCGACGATTATCTGAACCGGTCACGGGCCTCCCTTATGTCGACTCAGCCTCAAATGACTACCCAGTGTCGTGTGTAAACATTGTTGGCCACCCACCCCCTCGTGCGCCCACGTCCCGGCCTTTGACAGGTGCTGCTCGCCAACGGCACACTCGCCCCAACAGTCTGTCGCAGGCTACACGGCGGATGACTTTGTGTCTGCGCGTGTGTCCGTGCGTGCGTCTGTGCGGCCGTGTGCAGTCGTACATGGAGGACCACCTGCACAACAGGCACCGGCTGGAGCGCGAGTGGGTGGCGCTGTGCGCGTACCAGGCGGAGCCCAACGCGCGCTCCATTGCCCAGCGGGCGCCCAACGCCGCCAAGAACCGCGACTCCAACGTGCTGCCCTGTGAGTCCGGCAAGCTCCCCTGGGAGCCTCGCGCGGTTCGAGGGCGTCTTCTCGACCGCCTATTTTTTAATCCTTTATATTAAGTTCACTTGCTTGCTTGCTTGCGCGCTTACGATCGTGCAAATTTTTCGGTCGTTTTTTAACCCACTTCCCGTGATCCAATCGAGCTGACATTTTGCATACAGACTCGTGCGTGACAATTTATTTTCGTGAAAGAAAATTTCCAAAATTTTCCACTTTTTAGGGAAAAAATATAATTAATATTTAATTTAAAATACCAATGTGATACAAATGAAACTCTTACTCAATAAAAACAGAAATGAATAATAAAATAGAACCGATGCCACGCATATAAAGAATTTATAGTGAAAAACGTTTTTACGGGTTATTTTTTTTTTGCCGCCCTCGCGAGACGTTGCGGATCTGGATGAGTGTTGGGGGGGGGGGGGGGCAAGCAGGGCCAGGGTTGTTTACTTTTGTTCGTCACACTCGTCTTGTCCGCGCGCGGGGCGACTCGTTCATCGCGTGCGATGTCAGCGGCGTCGCTCAGGTGCCAAAATAGTGAATCAACCCGGCAACCTTTTGAGCCATGTCAGGCTGGGCTCGGCATGGCCCTGGCACGGCTCACTTGTACAGTGGAAAAAGAAAAAGAGGTACGAGAGTACCCAATACCCGCTATTTTACACTAAGTTACGGTGACCTCACCACGGCGCATGTGCCAGGCCAGGTGCACTTTCAAGTATCGAAGGCTCGCCGTCAAAAGGTCACAGGACAGACCCAGGTGCCTCGGGTTGACTGACTTCGAGGACTGGCAGGTGCAGCAGCTGTGCCCTCTACTCTGAGAACTTGCTCCGCTCATTGTTGTGAGCGTCGCTCCTCTTTCCTGCATTGCTGTTGAGAGGGCGACTGCCTCCACTTGATCAGGAGCGTCCTTCACGAGCCTCCTCCATAGATACAGGTTCCATTCACTGATACACTGTGGGGTTTTTGTCCCCACGGTTGGCTGTGGTTATTTTAATTGGTACATTTTCAGGAGCGCCATGGGAGTGTACTCACGTCTGGCTCCGCTGCCAGGCTCAAGTAGGCCGGACCACTCTGGCTTCCGCAGATTTCATTGTTTCAATTATAGATTTGAAGCTTTCGTGACTGCAAGGATTCATATTCTTAGGTTTTTTCGGTAAAGTCACGTAGGTAAAACATTAAAATTAATAAAAGTAAAATAAAAAAAAAAATCACGACGTTTCGGAGGTAACACAAGTTTCCGTCTTCAGGTGGAACCGTCACAGCCACGACAGCTGTATCAAGTAAATGAGTTTATTTTTATTTTTTATTTTTTTATTTTATTTTACTTTTATTAATTTTAATGTTTTACCTACGTGACTTTACCAAAAAACCTAAGAATATGATTCATTGTTTCAAATTAATTTATATTGACAGAAAACTACGGGGGTGCTCTGGTAGTGCACTCACGTCTGGCTCTGCTTAAGTACCATGGGCCACTCTGGCTTCCGCAGATTTTCTTGTTTCAAATTAAGTTGTATCGACAGTTAGAAATCTGCAGAAGTGCCCTGGGAGTACGCTTATGTGTGTCTCCGCTACCAGGCTTAAGTACCCTGGGCCACTCTGGCTAGCGCTGATTTTCTTTGTTCAAATTAAGTTATATCGACAGTTAAAAATCTGAGGGAGTGCCCTGGTTGTAACACTTACATTTCTTGTTTCAAATTAAGTGATATCGACGGTTAGAAATCTGCGGGTGGTGCCCTGGTAGTACACTTACGTCTGGCTCCACTGCCTAGCTTAAGTACCATTGGCCACTCTGGCTTCCGCAGATTTTCTTCTTTTGCAATTAAATTAAATCGACATTTCGAAATCTGCCAGAGTGCCCTGGTAGTACACTCACGTCTGCCTCCTCTTGCAGATTCGAGTACCCTCCCCGGCCACTGCCGTTTCCGCACATTCCCCCCACTGCCACCCCTGTTTCAAATGATGTTATATCGAAACATGATCTCAGTCTCTCTCGAGTCGCACTTGTAACTGCCTGAGAGCCGCACGTGGCTCAGGGTCGGTGATTTGGCCACCCCGTAGCGCCATGCACCGCGTGCATGGTTCGCCGTCGAACACAGACTGGTCACTCGCATCGCGCGCGCTCTCTCGGATGCGCTTCTGCGGCCGTCTGGAACGGTCTCGAACTTGGCAGGACCAATCCTGAAACAAAACACGGAGCTGTTTTGAAGGCTTGGCGGAGGCTTTCATGGGTAAATATATGGCGGCATTATTATTATTATTATGCAAGATGATGATTACCACTTATAGGGCTGCTGCGGCTGCTGCTGCTGCGGCTGTTATTGTTGCTGCTGCTGCTGGCACACAAGACCAGCTGTATTCTCACATGACAGATAAATAACACGGTCGTGCTCACTTAACCAAAAGCAATTTTCTGCAACCCACAGACGACCATGCCAGGGTCGTTCTCAAGACAGAAGGAAACATCTCCGGTTCAGATTATATCAATGCCAGCCCCATTGTGAGTGACTCATTTCTAAACCTATAATCACGTTTTGCTCATAATTGCGCTTAATTTGCACGTGACACTTTGATGTGCGAATTTATGTTTTGTGTGTGTGCGCGTGCGTGCGAGGGGAGCAGTGAGGAGTGGGTAACGCAACGGTTGGCGTGCTGCGCTACGAACCCGGCGACCCGAGTTCGATTCCAGCTAATGGCCAACAACAGTGACGATTTACTGAACCGGCCCTGGGCCTCCCCTAAATCGACTCAAACTAGTACCTGGTGCGATGTGTGAACATCGCCACTGGGGAGACAAAGGCGGTTGGACGTGGTGTTGGTCACCCATCCCTCCTCGTGTGTCGTGTCGGCTTTCATAGGCGCTAAGGCAACACGAAGATCTTTGTGCCTGTGTATTTGGAGTTTGTGTGTCTCTTTCCTCGTGGTTGCGTGAATTTTTCTCCGGGTCCTCCGGGTTTTCCGCTACACGTTTAGAATCAACAGCAACCGTTTAGAGTATTTGGCTGCTATAAATTTCCACGTGATAAGCCGCTTCTTTGGGCTATCACCTGTGGCCGGGTCGCTTCTTGACAAAGATCTATACAGCTCAGTGGCGCCTTTCCTGGTATAAAACTTTCTTTTGTACCGCGCGTGTTTACGTGTTGGCACGGCATCTGCGATATAAATTTTTCACACGACACGATATCAAAATTTCACGACGTGGCGTTGTCGTTGCATTTCGCGTTCTTATTCTCTCGTTGTAGCTCGCCGATAAGTTCACGCCCTATTATTTAAGCGGGACCATCTGTAAACGGCTCTCGTCAAGAGTGGGAATTTTTTTTCAGCCCAGGCCAGCGTTGAGTCGGCGGCGCACACCGACTTCTTTTTACCCGCCCTGAATCGGTGGTCTAAATTCCACATTCCTATGACGGGGTTGGAGGCCGCTCCCCCACCCCACCCCCAAGTCGACCACCACCTCCCGCCCCCCGTCCCCAAACCAGTAGTTGAACTTGCAACAACTTCGCGCTTGCGAGCCCCCCCGCTCTACGGCCGATCCGCCTTGTCAAGAAGCGCTGCAAATGGGTAAGCCCCTTTTTATACAAGCGAAGTTACTGAATGTACGTATGCAATTTTTCCTTCTTCTCTCAAACAATTCCGACAGATGGACCACGATCCTCGCAACCCGGCATACATCGCCGCGCAGAGCCCCCTGGCCGAGACCGTCGCGGACTTTTGGCAGGTTCGTCGCTGACCCTGGCGTCGTCGCTCCGTGCGGACCGCTTCCTGGGGAGGGGGCATCACGGCGTCGTTGTTCGGCGTGTAACGTCACCGGCGTAACGGGACATGCCGGTCATTTTGTCGAGTTGCGAGGTTTTGCAGCGACATCGCGAAACAAAAAGGTTGCGTGTGGTCTCGGCGGCCTCGTGCCTGGTTATAAGTAAAAGGTTGATGTTATCAGCAATACAAATGTGTGATAATTATGCTAATGATAGTAGCCCTAACGCACTACGATGGACGCATAACGTGCTGCAATGCGTTACGCAGTCTGCTGCTGTACGCACGTACGTACGTCGAACTCCTTTCGCACCGTACGTAGCCAACCGTGCTTATCGGAGGTGCGGGATTGAGAGTGCGAGTGGAGTTAAACTTGGCTGTGTCTCGCGTGGTGGAGTCGATGGTCTTCGGCCCGGTCTATTATTTGTTCGGCACTTTAAATTCGGCCGAGTTCCAGCGCTTGAGGATTTAAAACTTGGGTTGGACAGACACCTGGGGGCTCACCCGAAGCCCTCTTGCCTTGGGCCAGCTTAGACCTCGACATTGGCATCGAGCTTCTGAACAACATTGCTGCTTCTTTTTTTCTACCCACGTGACTTTACCGAAAGAACCAAAGAGTATGGATTCCTGCAGTCACCAAAGCTTCAAATCAACATTGCTGCTTCTTTTTTTCTACCCTACGTGACTTTACCGAAAGAACCAAAGAGTATGGATTCCTGCAGTCACGAAAGCTTCTGCTGCCATAGGACAGAATCTGGTTTGCTCTAGGTGTCCAGGGTTGCGAGATGTTAACGACCTCGCCCGGTATACAGGAGGTTGTGGGTTGGATCCCAACCCTGACGCCTGCTGTATATTTAGAGTTTGCGTGTCTCTATCTCCCCGTGGTCGCATTGGATTTTTTTTCTCCGGGTCCTCTGGTTTTTCCCTCCACATTTGTAATCAATGTGCGTTTAGAGTATTTTGCTGCTGTACATTTCCACGTGATAAGCCACTTCGTTGAGCTATCATTTGTGATAGCCAGGGGTCGCTTCTGAAAATAAAGCTACATAGCTCGGTGGTGCCTTAACTGGTAAAAAAAAATTGTTTAGTTTGAGTTGAGCTTATTGTTCCTATGGTACGATTTCCATCAACTTGTGGTGAGAGATTGTTCTGTGTTCGTTTGTAAAATCGGAATAAGCGTTTGAGCGCACCGACGATGTTGTGGCTGGTCTGCGCTGACTTCCAGTAAGCTTTCGCATCCAGTATAAGTTATCCACTCTGGTCTATAGAACTCTGCATGGTCTTGGACCAATGTACGTGCGGGCCCGACTGATCTGTCACACGCCTGGGGTTGAAACCCAACAACGACTCTCCCAGCCTCGGCTCTTGCGCTCGACGCTGGGTAAGGGGTCGGGGCCTTCCCAAGCGTTACTTTTATAAAAAAAAAAAATTTACCTACGTGACTTTACCGGAAAAAACCTAAGAATATGTTGCCCCAAGGATCCGGGAACGCCTTTCCGGCGGTGGCCCGGCACGCTCCGAGCCTCCGTGTGTTTTAGGATGGGAGTGCAAGACTATTTTCTCGTGGCTTTCACTTCAACATCACTGCATTGTCTTTGAATTTTATTTTAGGGTGCAATGTCTTGATAGCCCCCTTGTTGAGTGGAGGCGATTTCACATTGAAACTAAATACGATTTACGGTTTATGGTGCTAGATTTGAAGCTTTCGTGACTGCAAGGATTCATACTCTTAGTTTTTTCGGTAAAGTCACGTAGGTAAAAAAATGTAATAAAAATTAATAAAAATCACGACGTTTCGGAGGCAACACAAGTCTCCGTCATCAGGTGGGACCGTCACAGCCAGATTTGCTGTATCAAGTGATTTGCTGTATCAAGTGATACAGCAAATCTGGCAAAAATCTGGCTGTGACGGTCCCACCTGATGACGGAGACTTTTGTTGCCTCTGAAACGTCGTAATTTTTATTATTTATTTTTTTATTACCGAAAAAAACTAAGAGTACGGTTTATGTTGCGGCAGATGGTGTGGGAGAGCAGCTGTGTGGTGATCGTGATGCTCTCTCCGCTGGAGGAGCAAGGGACGGAGCAGTGCTTCCGCTACTGGCCCGAGGATGGCTCCCGCCTCTACCACATCTACGAGGTGAGCCGGCCGCCACAGCCGCGGTGGTGGTGGTGGTGAACAATGTTGGTGGTGAGCGGTGGTGACGACGATTGACAGCGACGGTGGTGGTGAATGCTATCGGACAACTATCCTTACCCCCTCTTCCCTCCCCTCTTCCCTCCCCCCTTCACCCCCCCTCTCCCCTCCCCCCATCTCCTCCCCCCACCCCCTCCCTCCGTCTCCCCCCCCACCCGCCGCCACCTCTTCCCGCAGGTGAACCTCGTTTCGGAGCACGTGTGGTGTGACGATTTCCTGGTGCGCAGCCTCTACCTGAAGAACACCCAGACGGGCGAAACCCGCACGCTCACGCAGTTCCACTTCCTCACCTGGCCCGAGCACGGAGTGCCGCCCTCCGCCCGCTCGCTCCTCGACCTCCGAAGGTCCCCCCTTGCACCCCCCCCCATGCCCCCAAAGCACCAGAATCGTGATTGTGTGGGGAAGGCGGTTGACCATACTTCACCGCGGTGTGATCAGTGTCGTGTGTGCTACACGGGAACCCCCTGTCCAGGACAGGATGGCTCCTCGGGCCTACGATATTCATGGTCTTCTTTGATGGCGAGGAAGCGCCCCGTTGAAGAATCAAACCGAAATCCGTAGACTCGCGTAGAGACCCATAGACTCGCCTTGAGATCCACGGACTCGCATAGAGATTAATAGACTCACATAAGGAACTATAGACTTGCACATAGATCCATAGACTCGCACAGAGACCCGTAGACTCGTATAGATTCCCATAGACTCGCACAGAGATCCACGGACTCGAATAGAGATGCATAGACTCGCATAGAGAACTATAGACTCGCACATAGATCCATAGACTCGCACAGAGACCCGTAGACTCGTATAGATTCCCATAGACTCGCACAGAGATCCACGGACTCGAATAGAGATGCATAGACTCGCATAGAGAACTATAGGCTCGCGCAGAAATCCACGGACTTGCATAGAGATTCATCAACTCGCAACTCCCGAGAGAGAACCCGCTTTACGGACGGTCCGAGGCCTCCCAGGCGCCTCACTTTTACGAAGTCTCCATCGACGACGCGCGACCATGTCACATTCCCTTCCAGCGACTGCGGGGGGGGGGGGGGAGGGGCTGCATCGTCGGCGTCGGCAGCGAGCGACGCCTGCAAACGTGCCGGCGGCTGATGTCATTTTTGTGATTTGCAACTCGTTTTACGTGTGAAGTTGCATAGTCACAAAAGTGATCATCAGAGGCCTTGGGCCCTGCCAGCAAAGTGTCGACTGGCCGATAATTGATGGCCCAAAGGAGGAGGCGCAAGGAAGGAACCCAAGAGGCGACGTCTCCCCTCGCACGCCAAGAGAGCTGGGGGACGGCACGCTTCCGTGGTGCAGTTGCGTTTGCCCTTCACAGCTCAACGGATTTCTCCAGGATAAAAGATTCTGATTCAGAGCTCAATGCAGGGTTTAGTCAGAGTGGTCGAGCGGACCCCCATTGGAGGCACCGGATGCGTACGTTGTGTTTTTGTAGGGGGCGCCTACCCTTGTAGTTTACAACTCGAATATGGGCGACGACGGAGGAGATATGGGGACGGGAGGTTGACTTGTAGGGAAAACTAAAGGTGTAGCGAGATGAGAGATGGCGACGAGATAGGGGCGAGAGAACAATTAAAGAGCAGTTTTTTTTTTTTATCCCACGTCTGCTTTCGTGACCCGATGTTACGATCCTTAATCGATTCTTAGGGGTCAGATCTCCGCTTATGCGAATTGTGTGTGGCGCACCCCCCGCCACCCGACATGGCCAATTAATTAAGTTGTCGTGTGATGAACAAACACGGCCAAGTTATGACTCCGAGGAGATGACACTTAAGCGGTCCGCACAGACAGGGTTTACAAACCTGAATTTCGATTTAAAGCTTTCGTGACTGCAGGGATTCATCTTCTTGGTTCTTTCGGTAAAGTCACGTAGAAGGGAAGTAATAAAATAATAAAAATAAAAATAATACAATAATTCTCACGACGTTTCGGCCACAACGCAAGCAGCCGTCCTCAGGTGAAGAAACAGGTCTGTCGAGAAGACAGCGTCTGAATGACACGCCCTAGGCTTGAAGCGGCTGCTTGCGTTGTGGCCGAAACGTCGTGAGAATTATTTTATTATGTTTTATTTTTATTATTTTATTACTTCCCTTCTACGTGACTTGACAAACCTGCTTCCTGTACTGCGAGCTCACAGCCCAAGCGGTGTTTTGCGAGTTTAAAAAAACCATCCGCCAACAATTCACCTCTGCACCGCTCCATCGTCACCAACGTGCAGCAGCACGACGCGCCAACAGAAGAACTCATTACCCACATCGATTCTTTGCCCATCAACGCCTGTCAGTTCACAAGCATTGGGTCAAGCAAATCTGACAGGGGGCGCCGCGGTGGCTAGGAGATGTTATCTCCCTCGCCTGGTACGCAGAAGGTCGTGGGTTGGATCCCAAACGTGACGCCCGCTGCTGTGTATTTGGAGTCTGCGTATTCTCCCCCGTGGTCGCGTGGATTTTTTTTCCTCCGGTGGGTCCTCCGGGTTTTCCCTCCACGTTTAGAAACGTGCGTTGAGAATATGTGGCTGCTATAAATTTCGACATGAACAAACGTGACCAATTTAAATGTGTGGTGAGGTTGCTTCTGAAAAAGAGCTATAGTAGAGCTGAGTGGGCCTTACCTGGTAAAATAAAAATGTGTTTGGTTTAGTTTAGACTCTGCTGATGAGACATCGAATGCCGAAACCAGTCCTCGCCTTTAAACATCTGGCAGTTCACCGGCAATGGTTCAAGCAAGCTTGACCGGTGACACATTTTTTTTGCTTTCGATGAACCCAACGCTGCTGAAACGATGCATTCCCCGAAGGCCACGAGGCCGATTGGATTTGTAAAAATAAAAAGAGACCTGTTATAAATATACATCTATATATATATTTTTTAAATGTACGCGGCGGGACCAGACGCGGGAAGGAGGCGTCATTTTGCCCGCTTGTGATGTGGCACCGTGCTTCGCTGAGCGTCTCTTTCTGTCCGTCTTGTCTTTTGAAGGAAAGTCAACAAGTGCTATCGGGGCCGATCCTGTCCCGTCGTCATGCACTGCAGGTACTGCCCCACGAGCAGCACCACGCCATTCAACACGGAGGACTGGCGCCGGACGATCGAAGGCGAAAACTAAAATAAATACGTGCAACTGCCTGGTTTAACACACGTCGGCTTTCGCGACCATCATGCAATGCGGCGGGGCAACAGACAGCGGCCGCTGCGCTGCGCGGCGAGACTTCGGTGCGAGCAGTTGTCCAGCCAACGTCCCTCCCCCCCACCCCCCTCTTTCTCCACACACCCAGCCGGTGTGCAGAACTAGTAACGCGTTGGCACGTTCTGTTTACCTGACAAACCTTACCGATTGGCTGTGTCGGGTGGTGGCGGGTTTAATGACACATTCTTTTGACCCCAAACAAACGTCGTTTATGGATACAATTAGGTATTGCCCCGCCCCTACCCTACAATCCCTACTCGGTAGACTGCAGGGGGAAAAAGTAGACCGATAAGCGTTTCAGCAAAATCTAGATTGGAAGCTTTCGTGACTGCAGGAATCCATACTCTTTGGTTCTTTCGGTAAAGTCATGTAGGTATTAAATGATATAAAAATAAATCACGACGTTTCGGGCGCAACACAAGCGTCCATCATCAGGGTTTCCCACCTGATGACAGATGCTTGTGCTGCGCCCGAAACGTCGTGATTTATTTTATTTTCTACCTACGTGACTTTACCTAAAGAACCGAAAGAGTACGTCTCAGTGAACATCGACAAAACCCTTGCGGCACGGGGCTGGTCGCACATCAGGGAAAGAGCTTCTGAGCTCCGATGGGCTATACTCGGGAAGTAAACGTCCGAGAGACGTTTGACGAGCAACCGACTTAATTATTTTTCATCGCAAAAGGTAAAAGCTGCGTTTCGTTTAAAGCGTTCACTGATTCAGTTCTGCGAAGGCAAGATCTGAATTTAAAAAGGAAAAAAAAACCCGCTATTTTTCTGCCACACGAATTCTCAGATTCAAAGCTGCGTCGTTCTCAGTAGCAAGGGGGAGGAGGGGGGATGATGTATAAACAAAAACGACAATTAAAAATCGTCGTGACACGAAGCAGGGCTTCAAAACGCACGTGCCCCCCCCCCCCCCCCCACTTCAAGCCGAGAGCGGCGCGTTCTTTACCGTGCGCGTTTGGACGAGGAGGAGGGAGGGAGGAGAGATGGTTGGGGGTTGCCGGCCATTTGGTCGTTCAGTGCGGCGACGAGAGCCGGGCGACGGCCGCGGGGGGCACGGCGAGAGAGACTGTGCTGCAACCCGTCGTCACCATCTTCTTCCTCTCTCCCCTCTCCCTCTCGCTCTGTCTGTTTTTTGCCGCAGCAACGGTTCTGGCCGGACTGGAACGTACATCCTGATCGACATGGTGTTGAACCGCATGACTAAAGGTGAGGAGGGAGGGAGGGCAGGATGCCCACGGCACCTTGGCAACACGTGAGTGGTGGTGGTGGTGGTGGTGCTGCTCAGGAGCGGCCAGTTCAGCATCACGCAATCGCTCGCATGCAGACGTCTCTTGCAATCGGTTGCGAGCAGCTGCGCAACCGGCTGCTCCCGGTCGAAGCACAAGGCCAAAGATGCCCCCCCCGTGTAGCCTTGACAGACCGTTGGGGCAAGCGCCGTTCGCGAGCACCTGCGAAGGCCCGAACGGCACGCGAATGGTTGGTTGGACAGCACCACGCTCGGCCGCCTTTGTCTCCCTAGTGCCGATTTTTAGACGCCACACCAGGTACTCATTTGAGGCCGAGTCGACCTAGGGGAGGTCCAGGACCAGTTCAGCCAATCGTCACTTGGTGTTGGCCATGAGCGGGAATCGAACTCGGGTCGCCGAGTTCGTAGCGCAGCGCTAACCGCTGCGTCACCGCTCGCCCCCAGCGGAGACACGGACTCCCACCGTCAAACGTCGATCTGCTCGGCGACGTGTAGCGACACGCGTCGTTCATCACGTGCCGCAGATTTGCGAACTGCGATTGGTCGATAACGATCCTGGCAACAATGCTGGAAGGGCCGTGGCCGAAGCCACGTCCTCGTTGCGCAACTGCTCGTTCAGACGTGGACAAAGCAGTCGCAGGTGGCGATGTTTGTGAGATTGTCTGGACCTGGGGCTTTTCCTTTGCGTTCAAAGTGAGCCATGGACGTTCATCTCCTGTTTGAAGCCCTCAACCAGGTGGTGGAAATTCCCCATTTCTACGGCAAGGGGGTCCGAGTCCATCTATACGACTTCCCTCACAAAGTGGTACAGTAAAACGTTGGATTGCGGATATCTTGGTCTGCGAGTGTTTTGCAAGACGAGCAATTTTTTTAAATAAATAATAATTTGATAAACGAGCGAGGTCTTGCAATACGAGTAGTACGTGTATACGCTTTGTCTGTGGAGCGTCACGTGATCACAACTGATATACGAGTGCTTTGGATTACAAACATGTTTCCGGAATGAATTATGCTCGCAATCCAAGGTTTTACTGTACTTGCTTTTTTTTTAATCGACCACGCCCGTCATAAAAATTATCATTGTTGTGGTCACTGAGAGTGAAATGCTCCCCACGTCCTTCTCACCGCCCACCGGATCTGTCCAATCTCAAGAGTCGGGGCTTCGTTATTGCAGCTCGTGAGACCCCACGCCGAGCTCAAGCAGCAGTTACACAGAGTTACACAGAGAGCCATAGAGTTACACAGAGAGCCATAGAGTTACACAGAGATCCATAGAGTTCCACAGAGATCCATAGAGATACACAGAGAGCCATAGAGTTACACAGAGAGCCATAGAGTTACACAGAGAGCCATAGAGTTACGCAGAGAGCCATAGAGTTACTCAGAGAGCCGTAGAGTTACACAGAGAGCCATAGAGTTACACAGAGAGCCATAGAGTTACGCAGAGAGCCATAGAGTTACTCAGAGAGCCGTAGAGTTACACAGAAAGCCATAGAGTTACACAGAGAGCCATAGAGTTGTGTAGAGAGCCATAGATTCGAAGACTAACTTTTCTAAATGAGTACATTGACGCGTAATATATGTTTTTAATTTATGTTGCCCGATTGTAAGATGGAGTGTGCGGGGTTATTTTCTCTCCAATTTATAATAAATATATATCGACTCGAAACATGGTTGAGACATCTCCACGCAATCCATAGCAATACGCAGGAGTTCAGGAGTTGCTGGGGGGGAGAAGAGAGGGGGGGCAGGGCAGGAGTGGGGACTAAAAATCGAAACCAGCAAACAGCAGGAGAACACACACCCTCGATTATCTTCCAAACCACTGCGGCGCTGCGTTACGCGAGGCTTAAATCGTGGATTTGGACAGACGGTGGAAAAAACGAGGCGTTTGAACCACGTCCCAAAAGTTATGGCGGCTGCCCCCCATGCGACGAACGGACGATCCGGCTTAATGATGGGCGTTCAGGACGGCAGAGTCATCAATAACAAGAGCTCAATAACAAGAGCAACACACACACACGGCAGAGTCATCCATAACGAGATCTACACACACACGGCAGAGTCATCCATAACGAGATCTACACACACACACGGCAGAGTCATCCATAACGAGATCTACACACACACGGCAGAGTCATCCATAACGAGATCTACACACACACACGGCAGAGTCATCCATAACGAGATCTACACACACACACGGCAGAGTCATCCATAACGAGATCTACACACACACGGCAGAGTCATCCATAACGAGATCTACACACACACGGCAGAGTCATCCATAACGAGATCTACACACACACATGGCAGAGTCATCCATAACGAGATCTACACACACACATGGCAGAGTCATCCATAACGAGATCGACACACACACGGCAGAGTCATCCATAACGAGAGCTACACACACACACGGCAGCGTCATCCATAACGAGAGCTACACACACACACACACACGGCAGAGTCATCCATAACGAGAACTACACACACACACACGGCAGCGTCATCCATAACGAGAACTACACACACACACACACACGGCAGAGTCATCCATAACGAGAACTACACACACACACACACACGGCAGAGTCATCCATAACGAGAACTACACACACACACACACACGGCAGAGTCATCCATAACGAGAACTACACACACACACACACACGGCAGCGTCATCCATAACGAGATCTACACACACACACGGCAGCGTCATCCATAACGAGATCTACACACACACACGGCAGAGTCATCCATAACGAGATCTACACACACACACGGCAGAGTCATCCATAACGAGATCTACACACACACACGGCAGCGTCATCCATAACGAGATCTACCCACACACACACGGCAGAGTCATCCTTAACGAGAGCGACACACACACACGGCAGCGTCATCCATAACGAGAACTACACACACACACGGCAGAGTCATCCATAACGAGATCTACACACACACGGCAGAGTCATCCATAACGAGATCTACCCACACACACACGGCAGCGTCATCCACAACGAGATCTACACACACACACGGCAGAGTCATCCTTAACGAGATCTACACACACACACGGCAGCGTCATCCACAACGAGGTCTACACACACACACGGCAGAGTCATCTATAACGAGATCTACACACACACACGGCAGCGTCATCCAAAACGAGATCTACACACACACACGGCAGCGTCATCCACAACGAGGTCTACACACACACACGGCAGAGTCATCTATAACGAGATCTACACACACACACGGCAGCGTCATCCATAACGAGGTCTACACACACACACGGCAGCGTCATCCATAACGAGATCTACACACACACACGGCAGCGTCATCCATAACGAGATCTACACACACACACACGGCAGCGTCATCCATAACGAGATCTACACACACACACGGCAGCGTCATCCATAACGAGAGCGACACACACACGGCAGAGTCATCCATAACGCGATCTACACACACACACGGCAGAGTCATCCATAACGAGATCTACACACACACACGGCAGAGTCATCCATAACGAGAACTACACACACACACGGCAGAGTCATCCATAACGAGATCTACACACACACACGGCAGAGTCATCCATAACGAGATCTACACACACACACGGCAGAGTCATCCATAACGAGGTCTACACACACACACGGCAGAGTCATCCATAACGAGGTCTACACACACACACGGCAGTGTCATCCATAACGAGATCTACACACACACACGGCAGAGTCATCCATAACGAGGTCTACACACACACACGGCAGCGTCATCCATAACGAGAGCGACACACACACACGGCAGTGTCATCCATAACGAGATCTACACACACACACGGCAGAGTCATCCATAACGAGGTCTACACACACACACGGCAGTGTCATCCATAACGAGATCTACACACACACACGGCAGAGTCATCCATAACGAGGTCTACACACACACACGGCAGCGTCATCCATAACGAGAGCGACACACACACACGGCAGGGTCATCCATAACGAGAGCGACACACACACACGGCAGAGTCATCCATAACGAGGTCTACACACACACACGGCAGCGTCATCCATAACGAGAGCGACACACACACACGGCAGGGTCATCCATAACGAGATCTACACACACACACGGCAGCGTCATCCATAACGAGATCTACACACACACACGGCAGCGTCATCCATAACGAGATCTACACACACACACGGCAGCGTCATCCATAACGAGATCTACACACACACACGGCAGAGTCATCCATAACGAGATCTACACATACACACGGCGGGGTCATCCATAACGAGATCTACACACACACGGCAGAGTCATCCATAACGAGAGCTACACACACACGGCAGAGTCATCCATAACGAGATCTACACACACACATGGCAGAGTCATCCATAACGAGATCTACACACACACACGGCAGGGTCATCCATAACGAGATCTACACACACACGGCAGAGTCATCCATAACGAGAGCTACACACACACGGCAGAGTCATCCATAACGAGATCTACACACACACGGCAGAGTCATCCATAACGAGATCGACACACACACACGGCGGGGTCATCCATAACGAGATCTACACACACACACGGCAGGGTCATCCATAACGAGATCTACACACACACACGGCAGCGTCATCCATAACGAGATCTACACACACACACGGCAGAGTCATCCATAACGAGATCTACACACACACGGCAGAGTCATCCATAACGAGATCTACACACACACGGCAGCGTCATCCATAACGAGATCTACACACACACACGGCAGCGTCATCCATAACGAGATCTACACACACACACGGCAGCGTCATCCATAACGAGATCTACACACACACACGGCAGCGTCATCCATAACGAGAGCGACACACACACGGCAGAGTCATCCATAACGAGATCTACACACATACACGGCAGAGTCATCCATAACGAGAGTGACACACACACGGCAGCGTCATCCATAACGAGATCTACACACACACACGGCAGCGTCATCCATAACGAGAGCGACACACACACGGCAGCGTCATCCATAACGAGATCTACACACACACACGGCAGAGTCATCCATAACGAGATCTACACACACACACGGCAGCGTCATCCATAACGAGAGCGACACACACACACGGCAGCGTCATCCATAACGAGAGCGACACACACACACGGCAGCGTCATCCATAACGAGATCTACACACACACACGGCAGCGTCATCCATAACGAGAGCGACACACACACACGGCAGCGTCATCCATAACGAGAGCGACACACACACACGGCAGCGTCATCCATAACGAGATCTACACACACACACGGCAGAGTCATCCATAACGAGAGCGACACACACACACGGCAGCGTCATCCATAACGAGAGCGACACACACACACGGCAGGCGAGTGGCGGACCAGGCCCCGGGTGTAGTAATAATGATGCAGGGAGGCCCACACCCCCCCGCCCCCCAGTTTGATTATGACTCCGAGGACGACAAAGCGTTGAACCCTGTAGCTGCTAAACATGAAAGTGAAGTTTGGCTGCCACAAAATGTAAGACAGTTTTGTGTTTGTTTTTGTCTCCAGTCAGTTACCGGGCTGAGACCCCCAACTTCAACTCTTTGAGCTTGAGAGAGCCCCGGTTTCATCGTGGGCGGCTGAAAGCCGAAGTCAAACCCCAGCTTTTTGTCAATGGTGCCGGCTCTAGCGCTTTGAACTCCGAGCCACCGAGCGTTCAATAGACTTTTCACTTTGTACAACAGCAAACTTTGAATATATGTGTGTGTCCGTGTGAAGATGTGTTATAGGGAGTGGTGTAGCGGTTAGCGCGTTGCGCTATGAACATGGCGACCCGAGTTTGATTCCCGCTCATGGCCAACACCAGTGACGATTACCTGAACAGGTCCTGGGCCTCCCCGAGGTCGACTCAGCCTTAAATGAGTACCTGGCGCGATGTGTAAACAAAACCACTAGGGAGACAAAGGCAGCCGGGCGTGGCGTTGGCCACCCACCCCCTAGGTCGACTAGGGGATCTTTGTGTACAAACAAAGACAAATATCCTCCATATAGCCTGTAACAGACTGTAGGGGCAAGTGCTGTTAAGCGAGCACCTATGAAGGCCGGAACGGCACACGAGGAGGTGGGTGGCCAGCACCACGCCCGTGGCAATGTTTTCACACACCAGGTACTCAATTGACGCCGAATCGACCTAGGGGAGGTCCAACTACCGATTCAGATCATCGTCGCCGGTGTTGGCCGTGAGCGGGAAAGGAACTCTGGTCGCCGGGTTCGTAGCGTAGCGCGCTAACCGCACCCCACGCACACATTTATATACGAGCAGAATGTGTTAAAGCAAGCAAATTCCGGGATAGTTTTAACCGTGTTGTTCTCAGCAGCCAGCCTGTTGTCTGGTAGACAAGTAGTAGGCTCAAGGATTGAAACGTTAGTTTCTTCAAGTGGACAAACTTGGGGACTTTTACCTTCTTATTAATGTATTTCTTTAAATGTAAAACACGGATCCGTTGAGTTGAGCACAGCAGTGGCTTATGAACGATATCGGGGGCCGTGTAAGTAAGGCCTAGTAAGTGGGGGAGGGGGTAACAGGTCCCGTTGAAAGTGCTGCCGGACCACCAGACACTATTTATCGCCGCCGGAGAGCGTCCACCACCGCCACCGCCACCGCGATTGACGAACCACGCGTCAGTGCGACCACGCGCGGGCGGGTTAGGGCGTGCGAGTGGGAATCTCCCCGTGTAAGTAAAGTAACAAAAAGTACAAATTTTACATCTTCATTTAAAAACCCGTGTGCGCTACGCCCGCCCCGAGGGCGTTTAAACGACACGGCCCCCGAGATGAAAAAAAGACGCGAGGTGGTGCCGTGGCTCGGGTCGAGCGCTCGGGTCAGCGCAGCAAGCTTCAGCACGCTTCACACGCGCGGCAAGCGGCAAGCAGCGCTTTGTGCTCTCCCTTCAAAGGCGAGGGCGCGCACCTTTCAAATCGCGATTCGATTTTCGATTGGTGGGGGGCGGTCAAAGCGGCGCGCCGCACGTGACCGCCAGAATGAAAGCCTCTTCTCTTGAAACGCGGGGCTTGCCGGCCGAGGGTGGTAAGGGGTGGCTCAGGGGAGAAGCGGAGGAGGGAGCGGGGTGGGTTAGAGGTATCGCAGCCGGTAACCACTGAGATTTCCCTGGCTTCAAAGAAAGTCGGGTTTTAGCCGCCCTCAACTAAAACGGGAGTAGGTTCTTGGTGGACGAGGAACGGTGTCCGATGATTTGGCGCAAATTCTTGCTTCGAAAAAAACAAAAAACATTGTCACCTTTGATCGCCACGTGGTGGGGGCATGGTGCAGCAGGGGCCCTCTCGTGTGGCCTCGGGGTCGCTTGAAGCGGTTGCTCAGAAGTGGTTCGACGACGATACAAAGTCGTCGTTTAGCCGAACGTGCGCCGCTGCACCGTCTAATGCGGAGTAGAGCCGACCCCCCCACACCCCGCCCCGTTGCCAGTGCCGGATTATCCTCGTAGCACAAGTAACTTACATAATGCTACGGGCCCCGCACTTTCAAGGGCCCTGCACTAAATGCGTTCAAGCTATCAATTCCGGTTCAGTTATTCGGCACTTGCTCTATTACTATAGTACATATACCGCCTTCAACTTTTATGAACGACTGTGCGTTTAAGGTTAGCGATTTGTCGTATTATCTGAGCTGTATAGCAAATTAAAATATACAATTACTTTACCATGCAAGTAAAAAATGTCTTTTAATATTTACGTTTTATTTTTTATTAGGCCCCTTTATAACGTATGCTACAGGCCCCGCACTAGCTTAATCCGGCATCGCCCGTCACCCCGCACTACCGAGGCTTTGACCGTCGTGCTCGTTGCACCCATCCTCTCGCCTTCTTTGTCGCTGCAGGAACAAAGGAGATTGACATCGCCGCATCCCTGGAGCACGTCCGAGACCAGCGGCCAAGGATGGTGGAAACCAAGGTACAGCGGTTGCACTCATCGAGCACCGCACACGGTGCGCTTTCGGATGCGCTACCGCGGCCGTCTGGAACGCCCTTCCGATAATTAAGAAGTCGTTTCTTTAGAACTGCTTCCCGCCTTTATAGTTTCTTGTGCTTCCCCCGCACCTCCGATCAGCACGCTTGGCTACGTCCTGTGCGAAAGATGTTCAATGTACTACATACAATGGGACAGGGAGTGAGGATTACCCACACAGAGATGGAGGTCTTGTCGTTGTGGCGGTGGCGGTGGTGGTGGTGGCCACTGAGAGTGAAATGCTCTCCACTTCCTTCTCACCCCCCACCGGATCGTTCCAATCTCAAGAGTCAGGGGCTTCGTTATTGCAGCTCGTGAGACCCCACGCCGAGCTCAAGCAGCTCCGTTACAAAGGCGACCACAGCCCAACAGGGTAGGAGGCAGCGGCAGTTGCAGGAGATCGCAGTTACACAGTTACACAGAGAGCCACAGAGTTACACAGGGAGACTTAGAGTTACACAGAGAGCCATAGAGTTACGTAGAGATCCATAGAGTTAGACAGAAAGCCATAGAGATACACAGAGAGCCAGAGAGTTCCACAGAGATCCATAGAGTCACACAGAGACACATAGAGTTACACAGAGAGCCACAGAGTTACACAGAGAGCCATAGAGTTACACAGAGATCCATAGAGTTATGCAGAGATACATAGAGTTACTCAGAGAGCCATAGAGTTACACAGAGATCCATAGAGTTACACAGAGATCCATAGAGTTACACAGAGATCCATAGAGTTACGCAGAGATCCATAGAGTTACACAGAGATCCATAGAGTTACACAGAGATCCATAGAGTTACACAGAGATCCGTAGAGTTACACAGAGATCCATAGAGTTACACAGAGATCCATAGAGTTACACAGAGATCCGTAGAGTTACACAGAGATCCATAGAGTTACACAGAGATCCGTAGAGTTACACAGAGATCCATAGAGTTACACAGAGAGCCATAGAGTTACACAGAGATCCATAGAGTTACACAGAGATCCGTAGAGTTACACAGAGATCCATAGAGTTACACAGAGATCCATAGAGTTACACAGAGATCCGTAGAGTTACACAGAGATCCGTAGAGTTACACAGAGATCCATAGAGTTACACAGAGATCCATAGAGTTACACAGAGATCCGTAGAGTTACACAGAGATCCATAGAGTTACACAGAGATCCATAGAGTTACACAGAGATCCGTAGAGTTACACAGAGATCCATAGAGTTACACAGAGATCCGTAGAGTTACACAGAGATCCATAGAGTTACACAGAGATCCATAGAGTTACACAGAGAGCCATAGAGTTACACAGAGATCCATAGAGTTACTCAGAGATCCATGGAGTTACACAGAGATCCATAGAGTTACGCAGAGATCCATAGAGTTACACAGAGATCCGTAGAGTTACACAGAGATCCATAGAGTTACACAGAGATCCATAGAGTTACACAGAGATCCGTAGAGTTACACAGAGATCCATAGAGTTACACAGAGATCCGTAGAGTTACACAGAGATCCATAGAGTTACACAGAGATCCATAGAGTTACACAGAGATCCGTAGAGTTACACAGAGATCCATAGAGTTACACAGAGATCCGTAGAGTTACACAGAGATCCATAGAGTTACACAGAGATCCGTAGAGTTACACAGAGATCCATAGAGTTACACAGAGATCCATAGAGTTACACAGAGATCCATAGAGTTACACAGAGATCCATAGAGTTACACAGAGATCCGTAGAGTTACACAGAGATCCATAGAGTTACACAGAGATCCATAGAGTTACACAGAGATCCATAGAGTTACACAGAGATCCGTAGAGTTACACAGAGATCCATAGAGTTACACAGAGATCCATAGAGTTACACAGAGATCCGTAGAGTTACACAGAGATCCGTAGAGTTACACAGAGATCCATAGAGTTATACAGAGATCCATAGAGTTACACAGAGATCCGTAGAGTTACACAGAGATCCATAGAGTTACACAGATATCCGTAGAGTTACACAGAGATCCATAGAGTTACGCAGAGATCCATAGAGTTACACAGAGATCCATAGAGTTACACAGAGATCCATAGAGTTACACAGAGATCCATAGAGTTACACAGAGATCCGTAGAGTTACGTATCTGAATTGGTCGTGGGCCCTCCACCCCCCCACCTACCCCCGCCTCCTCCCAAAACAACTTTGTCGACCAGCACCGTGGAGTTATTTCGCTTTCACAGAATTATTTCTGAGCATTGTAATTTAAGCTTCAACATTTTTTCTTACTACTACTGCTGCTAATAAATAAAGACGATTCATACCGCGTGCACATATTTGGCGAATTGGACACAATGTTCGATCGAAGTACTTTGAGCCAAAGCACAAAGTGCTTCGTACACCAACCTGGATGGATGACGACCTGGACCAGGTTGGAGCCTGAACCGGTGACGGTATGAACCAGTGATGACATGAACTGGTGACGACGGCCTGAACGAGTGAAGGCCTGAACAGGGTGAGAGCCGGAACGTGGCGAGAGCCTTGAGCAGCTGCTTGAAGGTGGATAATTGTGATTGGATGCTGCTGCTGCGTGCACGCATTGATCATCTCCAACATCCCATTTGTTCACTGCGCCTCGACTTGTACCGCAAGGGGAGGCACGGCACAAACAATAAAACGATGACGACGACGACGGCGGCCACTTGGGTAGGCCTTCATCCAGCGGCGGGATGGATCGTGACCGATGAGGACTCGGACGATAAAACCGCGAACGATCCCGTGCGTCTGTACGTGTTCCAGGAGCAGTTCGCCTTCGCGCTCACCGCCGTGGCCGAGGAAGTGAACGCGATCCTCAGGTCCCTGCAGAAGTGACGATGCCGGCGGCTGCCTTGGACCGAGAGCGGCCGCTGTCGCCGCCCAGGCGATCCACGGCCTTCGGGCCGGGGACAGGTGCGGAAGGCGACAAAGAAGAAGAGACGGCAGCCGCTACCGCACGCTGCTGCTGCTGCTGCCACGGCGGCACGTCACATCACACGTTTTTGGGGGGCCGGGGGGGAGGGGCGGCGGGGGGGACGGTAGGGAGGGAGGGAGGGGGGCCACGAAACAGAAGTGATTTTTGAGCCCCCCCCCCCCCGCCGCTCCCTTCTTCGCCGTTTCAAAGAATTTCGAACATCCGAGTTGGATTGGCAGACGAGACGTCGACGAGAGATTTGGCGCGATGTGGCGAGATGAGAGTGAGCAGCAGACTAAAAGATAGACGCAGTGAGGTGAGAGGTGAGATTAACTCGGGCCGGTTGTATTTAGTTAGGATCTGCATTTCAGCTGATGTTTGATGCACTTCCAAGTATTGTTTGTGAATCTGTGGCCCCGACTTGAGCCGCTTGGGGCCCTACAGCTTGGTTTGCTAGGTTTGACACGTGGATATTCGCTAAAGTTTTTTCCTTGGGTGACATCGCGTAAATTATAAAGGCGTCGTTCACCCACCGCCCACCCGACACGGCCAATCAAGTAAGCTTTGTCCCGTAAACAAAACGTGCCAATTGGTGGCTACTTGAGTTCACCGGTCGCGTTTGCAGAGCAGGCCCACACTGTGCTACACTTTGAGTGCCGCGACGCTTGGCGCCGGCGATCGCAGCAAACAAGCAGCTTCAAATCGGGCGATTTTCCACGAATTGCGAAGAAGCCTTCCCGAAACGGGAAAGAAACTTTTGACGACTTGGCTATGCTCGGGGGGCGCGGGGGGGGGGCTATCGAAGCCACCACCCCCCCCCCCCCCCCACTCCTCCTCTCCCCCCCGCACGTCCAAGTCTGCCAAAGTTCCCCACCGCTCCGTGTGCTTGAGAGGCCAGCGCGCGCGCGGCGGCGTTGGCGCCGGTCGATTGCGGTGCCCAACGGCGATGGTCTCCCAAGAGTTTGGCGCGCCGCCCACGGTTGGGCCGTGACCGAGGGCCCCCGGCGGAGAGACGGTGACGGGGAAGAAAGCGGCAAAGCGAACCGAGCTTTTTATTCGGCAGCCAGAAACTCCGCGGAGTTTGGGGGGGCGGGGGGGTGGGATGGGAATGGGGCGGGGTCCACGAAATTGAAAATAAAAGAATACAATCGCGTTGCATCTTTGAATTGGTCAAAAAAAAAACATTGACCATTTATTGTTCTTGTAAATCGCACAAAATAGGAACGTTCGCTTCGAACAAACGCGGGAAGGAAGGCGTTATTCATTTCGTTATTTGCAGTCTCCACGGCGACGCTCAATAATTATTGTGCCGCTATTCGCGGCGTTGTCGCGAGGTTACCCGTTCCCATATCTCGCTCGGAAGCCGAACCAGCTCCCAACACCGCCCCCCCCTCTCCCCACTTCTCTGTTCGTATAAAGAAAGTTGGGGGGCAGAGAGCTTCTGCTCTGGCTCGGGAGGAGGGGGGGGGGGGCGGTGCAGTTTTGTCCGGTCCAATTCTCTGCATCGCTTCACGAGTCACCGTTGCGGTCCAGCTTCGGAAGGAGTTGTTCTCACGGACAAGACACAAATAATAGGCTCTTCCACACCAGAACTACCCTCCCCCGCCACCCCCCAATCACACGAAATACGACCTTACCCCCCCCCCGCCCCCCCCCCCCCCCCCCCCGATGCCGACGGCTTTCCGCCGCCGTTCGCTCTCAGTTCCCGCCCCGGGTCGCCGGGACTCGCCCAGACCCGTGAAATACGGCGTCGTACTTTACATTTGTCCGGAGGGGGGGGACGGGTGCGGGGGGAGAGCTTGCTTTTGGGTGCAGCGATGAATGCGCTAAGAGCTTTTGCGTCGGCACTAGGCCCAGAGCCACACGCACCCAACTCGAGGGCGTGCGGCTGAGTAGGTGTTACAACAGAGCCCCCCCCCCCCCCCCCCATTACGGGTGTGACTGGAAGTGTTAATTGTGGAATTGTGCTTGCCAACTGCTGTGAAGAATGAACAAAAAAAATTCCGCCCCACCCCCTATGCCCCTGTACCTGAATGCTGATAAAGACAACTTGTTCATAATTGGTAAAAAAAAAATTGGTTAAAGGAGCAGCCCTGCAAGTGCACGCTCACGCCGCTACTGGTGGAACGGCCTCCACTCGAGGGAGATCGAGATCCCCCCCCCCACCTCCCCCCTTCGAGAGGTATCTTGGCCTAAGCTTCCACACCGGCGCAAACGTCTCGCGAGAGCGGTGGGGGGCAACCAGAGGTCGCAAACGAGTTTTGATTCCTTACCCGTACCCGTACCCGGCCGCACCAGGGTCGCAAACGGGTACCCGTACCCGGCCGTACCCTACCTGTAACCGGCCGGGTACGGGTAGGGTACGGGTATTGGGTACGGGTATCGGGTACCTGATTGCGACCTCTGGGATGAAGCCATGTTGCAGGCGCGGGTGGGTTGATTCTAGGAACTTGAATTGTGAGAAGAGACAAGACGTTGGGAAATGAGTGACAAACGGTTACTCACCAGTGACTCACGGCCTACCCGTACCTGTACCCGGCCGCATCAGGGTCGCAAACGGGTACCCGTACCCTGGCTGGGTACGGGTAGCCGGGTATCGGGTAGGGTACGGGTATCGGGTACCCGGTTGCGACCTCTGGGGGAAACCCAGGCTTTTACCCCCGGCCGAGCCCCAGCTGCCGATGGGCCGAGCGTAATTTTTTTGGAAGACTAATATGACAATTTGCGTGGAACAAACAAAAAAGCAATGCGCGAAGAGGACTAAATCGAGAGAGACAGACGATGATATGCATCGCGCCGATGCCCTCACCAGCGTTTGAATTCGTTCACTCGCGCATCGATGCAACTTATCGACAGAGTCCGCTTGACAGCCGCCAAATCGTCCTCTGTTCATTCATTTCCCCCCAACGCATGGGTTCCCCTATTGCGGTTCAATACGGTTGCTATTATTATGATTATTAGTTTTCGACGGCGAACGGAGATGCCCCGTGCATTTATCCGCGGCGTTTTACTTCATTCGTGTAATTATACGCTGTATTTTAGTAAACTAAATATGAATCTATTTTACTACTTGTGTACCAAACAACTTAAACCACTACGGCACAATAAACATAACCGTAATCCTATTAATGTATATACGTTCACGTTTCGGAGGCGTTATCCTCGGCTTACAACTTTTTTGTCATTTTGTTTAATTTTGTTGCCCTCCGTGGCACTTTTTTTCCCTCCCAGCATTTTCTTGTTGTTGTTGAACATTTTAAAAACGGACCCGTCGAACGTAATTCCCTCGGCGTTTCCACCACCACCACCACCACCTTGCCAAATCCAACCGCACAGACGGAGAGAGATATTAGAAGAGGAAGATTAAGACACGTTCAGCACGATCAAGCCTCCTTAAGGTCTCTAATTACCCCAAATCCCCTCCGTCGTTACGCTGCCGGCGTTTTCCTCGATGTGCTTTCTCATGGTGCCACGCGATGCAAAGGTTTTCACCGTACGCCGAAGACCGCGGTATCAGTTTCCCTTGGCGTTGTAAAATCGTGTTTGGCGATCTCATCAGTGTCGACCCGGGCGCTTTAAAACCTCGAACGCTTACGTACCGTACGTAAAGTTGAACTTCTTTCGCACCGTACGTAGCCAACCGTGCTAATCGGAGGTGCGTGCTGTGGGGGTAGGACAACAAACGTGCACACACGAAAAATATTAAACGGTTAATTAAATTGTGAAAATTACGATGTCCTATAAGTAACGTGCCGTCAATTACTCGGCAAAGACTTGTTTTGAGTAGTTATTAACCTAGCACGCTTAACTAAGACGATACGTCAGCAAGACGGACTTGTAGGATCGTCGCAGATGTTACATTGTCATATTGCGGCGGCGTCGCCACATCGCAGACTTTTACTGCGACGTCGTTCAGTTACGGCGCCTTCCCCGCGCGTCAAACGTTCAACTGCACCCGTCGAATCATCTCTGCTCGGTGCCCCCAAAGGACTGGGCACCGCCGCCGATGAATAGCCACTCCAGATTTGAAGCTTTTGTGACTGCAAGGATTCATATTCTTAGGTTTTTTCGGTAAAGTCACGTAGGTAAAAAAATTTAAATTAATAAAAAAAATCATTTTTTATTTTTTATTTTATTTTACTTTTATTAATTATTTTTTTTACCTACGTGACTTTACCGAAAAAAACCTAAGAATAAGAGCCACTCCACCAATTGCCCAGCAGCATTGCGCATTGCCGGACATTAAACACGAGCCAGTGGAACGTCTCACGTATCCCTCCAACATACATATTCTGTACACGTATAACAGTAGGCGCGTGAAACAATATCCCTGCCGTTATGAATCCACAGCCTGCCTCCGCCACGTTAGTATGGGGGTTGTTTGACCATACTTCACCACGCCAGTCAGTTTGGGTCCGTGGAGGGAGGTGGTGGGGGTAGGGCTAGACCAGTTCTGATATCAATCTCCAATTTCCATTACTATAGCAATTGTAAAGCCCTTTGTCAATAATTCAAAGCCCTATGCAGTCAATCCTCTGCTGGAGAAAGACCGCCCCACGCCAATGCCAATTACGGTTGCGTTGATCAACCAACTTATGTCGCGGGGCTATTCACACGGTGTGCTCACCACTGTGCCACCACTCCCCCCGCCCCTCTGTCCCCCCACCCAGCTCTTGCCCCCCCCCCCCACGTATTATACCACAGATCTATGTGTCGTGAGTTTTGTATCGCTCTTTTTAATACCTTGATTGTACATGTAGCATGATATTTATACACTATATATATAAAAAACATTACATATATATTATACATAATGTACTGCAAATGTATATATGTAATTTTTTTATATACCTAAAATACTTTGAGTCAAAATATACCAGCCTCTTGATCAACATTGTATAGTTTTAGATACGAATTATATCACTTATGATCTGTTCAATGGAGTCAACATTTTATCTGAATTCAAGTAGCAAAACACTATAATGGTATACGACTCACACATTGAATTAACAACAAAATAATAATAATACTTTACAATGCTTTTCCAATAGACTCCCCATATATTATTCAAGACGGGGGGGGTTGACCATACTTCACCAAATTGAACTGGACTATGACCGGCTCGGATGTCACTCGCCACTCATGTCTTCACCGTAGCTAGGAATCTAACTTCGCGTAAAAATATTTGTTTTGTGTGTGAATAGGCATGAATGGCTTTTCCCATTCATTTAGTAAACAAAAAACTGTGAGATTTGTTTCGGACGGTCATTGCGATACTACTCCCAGCCTAAAAACATACACACCTCATCAATTTTCACAAAACCAAAATAATAATAATCGATTCTAGATTTGAAGCTTTCGTGACTGCAAGGATTCATATTCTTGGGTTTTTTCGATAAAGTCACGTAGGTAAAAAAATTAAATTAATAAAAATAAAATAAAAATCACGACGTTTCGGAGGCAACGCAAGCTTCCGTCTTCAGGTGGAACCGTCACAGCACGACTGCTGTATCAAGTAAATGAGAAATTCCAAGAGATCCGACCCCGTATATAACCGGTAATAATCAAGAACGTCAAAATTGAAACGATTGACTTCGTACGAATTGATCTGAAACAAAAGTTATTCGCCTTTTTCAGGGGAACTCGCCAAAAAGATCTGCTGCACGTGGAGGCGTCACTGCTGCCACGGCAGGGACACCGTGACGCTGTCAGCGTATCCAAATCGACATCTTTATTTGGACCGCAGGTGGAATCTGATTAGTTATGAAAGCTCTTTCTCAGCAGATGTCCAGTCCGTGGGTGGATGACGACGATGAGGCAGCCTCCCAGGTGGCTTCACGTCCGGTGATATCGTGGCGCGCAGCCGGAGTGAAATTTCGCTCACGCGTGAAATTCGATTTCTTTTCTTGGTTCTTTCGGTAAAGTCACGTAGAATGGAAATAATGGAAATAATAAAATAATAAAAAGAAAACATAATAAAAAAAGTTATTATGTGTTATTTGTATTATTTTATTATTTCCATTCTACGTGACTTTACCGAAAGAACCAAGAAGATGAATCCCTGCAGTCACGAAAGCTTTAAATCGAAATTTTAATTCGATTTCGTTGATTGAAAAAGTGTGCGACATTTCGTAAACCGAGCGTTCGTAAAGCAGGACCCTTCCAACCGCCCGTATAAAAATGTTAAGTCTTAAGTTTAAACTTAGAAAAAGTAAAAAATAAGTTTGAAGCCTAACGTTGGCGGGACCAAACTGAACGCACGATTTTCAGATGACTCTCTATCCACAAGTGTCGACTCGACTATGTAATTGCTAAACGTCAACATTCGAGCCCTTCTAAAACATCGCCAGAGTCAGCGACGCTCGCTCCTAAACACATTCTTGCAGAGGGAGCTGGTAGGAACGTTGGGTTGCTCGGTCAATGGCCAGGGTCAACGGCGGCGTGGTGTATTCCGCAAATATGGCCGACTGTGAGGGCGGGCACAAGCCGGCGTGAGTAGGTTAAACGTTGAGTTTTATAAGGGCACCACGGGATGACCAGCCTCCCCACCCAGCCCCACCCCCACCCAGCCCCACCCTCCCCACCCAGCCCCTCCCCACCCTCCCCACCCAGCTCCTCCCCACCCTCCCCACCCAGCCCCACCCTCCCCACCCAGCCCATCCCCACCCTCCGCTCCCCACCCAGCCCCTCCCTGCACGACCGACACAATAATCCCCTGTGGGCTGGTGTAACCAGGAGGTTCCTACCAGTATCATCTATATACACTGTACCTCTCTGGCCTCTATGTGCTGTGAAACAGGCCTTTATAAAGTATTGGGCTGCTATACATTTCCACTTGATAAGCCACTTTTGTTAACTTATCAAGTGGCCAGGTCGCGTCTGAAATAGAGCTACATAGCTCAGTGGGCCTTTCTTGGTAAAAGAAAAGTTTAGTTATTTATTAATTATATAATTTATTTTTAATTTTTAAGAGCGGTGTTATTGACGAATTTGTTGAGATTTTTCATTCATTAGATTTTTGTTTTTATAATTAATGTCAGAATTTACAACCTCGTTGGTATTGTTTCCCGTGTTTCTTTTGCCGTGCCGCGTGCAATTCTTGTTGGCGCAATTGACCTGAATGCAACACAGGCGTATTGGTCACGTGTCAATTACTGCAGGGCATCTGTGAAAAAGCGCTTCATCACTTATCGGATTCCTCCGGTATAAATAAATATTCTCATTCTGAAAACCATCGCGTTCTCACAACAATAATTATTTGACGAGCTCTACTCGTCGCCTCTGTACCGCTAAAATCGGAACATCGTTTTGTACGTATGTAAAAGTACGTTGAACTTCTTTCGCACCGTACGTAGCATACCGTGCCCATCGGAGGTTTCACGCTAACCACCCCCCTTACCCCCCTTGGCGACTTAGTCCAATATTCTCGCTCCTTTAGCCTCCGAATCCTAAAGTGTGTGTGTGTGTATTGGTGAGAGTAGACGTGCATGTCTGGACTTTGTGTGTGTATGTATATAGATGCAGGTGTGTCTTTGTGTAGGGAGCGGCGGTGCGGCGGTTAGCGCACTGCGCTACGGACTCACCGGCCCGAATTCTATCCACGTTCTCACGGTCAACACCAGTGACGAATATCTGAACCGTTAGTCCTGAGCCTTAACCCCTAGCCTTCAATGAGCATCGGCACTTGGGGGAGACAAAGGCGGCCGGGCGTGGTGCTATCCATACCTCGTGTGCCACGTTGACCTTTTCACATCAGGTGCTCCCTCACTTTTCCCCAAGTCTGTTAAGGCTACACAGGGGAAGCATTATCTTTGTTTGCGTGCGATCCCATAATAGATCGTCCCAAACCCTATAATCATCCATCCCATTTACTGGAGAGAGAGAGAAAGAAAAGTGCGGGGAAATGTTTTTTTTGTGCAACATAAACATCCCTCTCGCCGTAAGACATCGTCACCGCTCAATGCCAAGCGAACAGGTGAACGGATACAAATGGAAGAAGAAGAATAAGTAAAAAAACAAACCCGTTCCCCCTTCTTGACTGTGCAAGAAATATCTCGGCGAGCATTTAATGCTGTATTGTACGTAACGAATACGCGTTCGCGTGTCCTTGTTTCGTCTCCCTTTGCAATTGCCCGGTGCATCCTCCCCCCCTCGCCCCCCCACCCCCCCCACCCCCGCGCCCAGGCCCCCCATTCGACGCGGTACCGGTGGCGCGCGTCACGTCTCGTCAAAACGAATGCCAACCTTTTAAGTGTCAGCGGAAATCAATAAATCGTGGTCGTGCTGCGTCCGTCGTGGTTTTGTGCCAATGGGTTATTGAGCAGCAGCCGTGTGATGTGGTCTATGGCCGCTGCTGTCAAGGCAAATCTTCGATACAGGGTCACAGGGTCACGGGGTCAAAGGTTGCAGGGCCCTGCAATTTCTTGCTTGCACCCACTGCTTGCGGAAAAGCCTCCACTAGTCTGGAAAGTTCTAAAGAGAGATCCCCCGGCACCCCCCCCCCTCCTGCCTCCCACCCCACTGCCCCCTAGAAGGTATTTGGCCTACTCTTCCACGCTGGACAAGAACGCCGAGACTCTTTTTTTATGTCCCTGGGAAGACTAGCAGATTTTCTGAGCGCAGATTGCCCTCCTCAACGAGAGAACCATCCCGGAAAAATAAAAAATAAAAACCTGAACAGGCGGCAACCCCATTTCAGAGACCTCTCCGAGCCACTTATCCCAGGTTATGATTGCTTTCCAGTACGTTTAGCCGTTCACTCTACACTCGTGCCTTAGTGGCCGTGTGCTCAATGGAGGAGGGTGGGAGGGTGGTGGCGCAGTAGTTTAGCGAGCAGGGTCATGAACTCAAGCACCTGAACTCTGGATTGCCTGTGGCTGGTGGTGGTGGTGGCTTTACATTGCTACAGTTATTGGAAAAGCTGGGAGTGACCCCACGTTGTTACCCTGCCGGACGGTCGGCTAACCGCGGCGTTATTACGAAACATGCGTTGAGAGCGTTGGCGACTGATATTGATTTCCACGTGATAAGAAATCTTCGTTGAGCTCTCATTTGTGGCCAGGTCGCTTCTGAACAAGAGTGGTATAGCTCAGTGGGCTTGAGCTGGTTACACTGTCAACAGAAAATAGTTTGAATAGCAAATAGAACAGAGGA